AGCGGTTCTTGGAAAACGACGTCGTCTTCGTCGTCTTCAACGTCGTCTTCTTCTTCCCCTGCTTGCGCTGTGTTCATGTTCAGGACGAGGAGTGGGTTTGATTCCAGACTGTGGCTTGAAGAAGAAGAGGAAGAGAAAAGGAAGAAGATGAATACTAATAATAATTATTATAATAAGAATGGGTTTTCTTTGTTGATTTGTGCTTGTTAAAAACCCAGATTGATCAAAAATCTTTTAATTTATGTTTTGTGCTTAATTAATAATATGTTTAATCAGTCAAACAGCAAATAAATCGAAAGTGTTAGAATTGTGAATGGTTGGTCCAATTTGTATGATAAGATTTATGCTTAATTCCCTTATATGCCGCATTATTTTTTTTTTAATTTTTGTGTTCACGTTTTTATTTTTCGATTTCAAATAAATAGATATGACGGTAGCAGCAATTTATAACTTTGTTCAAAAGTCGAAAAAATACATAAAAATTAAACCTGAATTTCTTCGAATTTTAGTCTTGATTCCATCATTCAATCATGGTTATTTGTTGATGTTTTAGGGAATATGAAAAGAATTATGTTATAACCCAAAAAATAATTTGTCTAATCTATATATATAAAAGTTGGATTTGGAGAGATTTGGTGAGGACACCTAGGATCCAACTCATCACCCATGTGGCATTTGTTTTTAATTTTTATTTATCATTTGAAAATTCATTAATTAATGAACAAATATACATAAATAATATATTAATAATTGCAATAACATCTGAAATAAATTATAAAATGAGTGGAGGTAAAAATACCTTAGTAAGGTAATTAGAGAAGAGTGGATGTAAATTTAATGTTAGAAAAGAGTGGAGACAATTTAATATCATATGGTAAAGGTTACGTTATACAAAAAACTCATATGTGTGGTCTTTTTTAGTTGATCATTGGCTAGAAAATTAAATGAGAAGTATTAATAATTATGTTGTTGGTTTTTGAACTTTTGGCTATACGTTTTTGTTTGCAAATGGATAATTATGAAACCACATCATATACGGTATAATAAAAGAAAAATCTTACAATTAACTTACAAAATACAATTATACAAAAAATTGTCGATACACCGCTAATTATCCTAATAATAAAATGAAAAAAATAGTAACATGAATATGATAATTATATAAAAAAAAAATTGTAAGAAGCATTCATTGCCCACTAACAAAATGGAATAACGCAGGCCACTACACCATAATCATTATTAGAATAAATGTATTAGCCCACTATCGATTATATGCACACGAATTCTTTGAAGATTTTCGGTGACTTCGGTTTGTGTGCTTCATTTCTTTCTTCGTTGTTGCTCCCATTTTTTTAATCAATCACTCTCATTCACATATATAACATATTTGTAATACGTATAGAGATATATCAATCCAAACAAACAATACAATGACAACTATCGGAGGCACAATGGAGGCACGTGGTGTTGAGGCTCTTTTCGCATATGTAACGTTGATGATCTAAGAGTTGGACGCAAAATGCAAAGAATAGTCTGTAGATTGTTGCGATTTTGGGAGGCACGAAACTTCAAGAAACGTGGTGACCTGATGAGTATTGATTTTTTTTGCTCATCGAAGAAAAGGTTAACAATTTTTATGTATAATATCGCTCACATCATTTCACCGGTTATTTTTCCCCCTCTCCATTTTGCAGTCTCTTCTTATACAAGGATCTATTAGTAGGCAACGTTTGGATAGCTTCATAGATGCCTTTTATGAGGGAAAAATTTATATTATCACTGATTTTGAGATATTGTTTTTTTAATACTATTACAGTGCCAATGATATTCGTGTGACTGCTTGGGATACAAAAGCAAATGAATTACCTTCAAAGTTAGGGAATTTATCCATGCAACCAAAAGTGATTTTGGTGACAAATATAAATCCTAAATTTGTTGGAGGTAAAACTATATAAATTATTATAATTATATTGTTCCATGATAGTTCCTTTGTTTTTATTTTGTTATTATTTTGCAGCATATATTAAAAAATATTATTATTAAAAATATAAATATATTTATGTTGAGAAACTATTTAGAAGACTATATAAATTATTGCAATTATATTATTTCAATAATTCTGTAGCATTCTAGGAACATGTCTTCCATTGTTCTTTGTCATTGTGTAACCTCTTTCCTTCCAAGGTCTCCTTGAGTTTTAATGCTTTCTTCAATATTACATATGTTCGAAAATATTAGTATGTATTTTAAAACATACAATGATATTTTTGGCACATCTAAATTATGAAAAATATGTCATCCTATGGGATGATAAATTCAATCTTTTCTCCCACAATTTTTTTATATCTGTCATTCTCATTTAAGTTTTTAACTATATTATAATTTTAATTTACCGATTTATTGTTGATATTTCTAATTTATGTGTATCTTGGTATATAAAAATTCAGAAAATGTTTAATAGTTGATATTGAATATATTTTTGGTGAAAGAAATAATGAATGCATGGAAAAAACATAGAAAAGAGATGCATCTACTGTGATGGTGGAAGGGCAAATGAAAGCCAAGTGACGTGGCGTAGCTTTCTTTTTTCTCACCATCTATAAATATATATATATATATATATATATATATATATATATATATTAAGTGATTATATTTTAGATTTTATCTTTTTCTTATACTGTTTGGGTGAATCATGCACACATACAATTAAAAAATAAAAATCTCACTATGAATTATTATCAATGGCATACATTAATTACCTTCCGTAATTTGTCATTGGGTTTTGCATTTGTCCTTTCTTCAAAGATATGATATTCTTATCAATCGGTTGTCTATATTTTTATGTATGGAAACCACGTGTTTTTTGTAGGAGAGTTATATCTGAATACAACATCGGCATCACGGTTTTTCTTTGACGATGAAGCTGTTGCAACCAAAACATTTATGAACATGTATATCTCATAAATCATATCTTTCAAGTTGTGGTATATCAATATATTATGAACTTATAATGCAAACTTTGACGCAGGTTTAAGGACAAAGTCGACGAAGTATTAAAAATAGAGGAACCTGTTCACACAGTACTGAAGATTGAGACTGTTTCTATATCAGAGTTGTTTGATTTCATCACAACATCAAAAACTCAGGTACCATATAACTAAACCCAGTTATAATAATATGAAATCGGATTATGCGATATATAAAATTTCTATTTAAAACACATATATTCTTACATAATTACAGGAAGCTACTTTCTTATGCAAAACTACAATTAATGATATTTTGACTACAAATGGTTGGACGTACATTGCTTGTGGTCAATGCTCTCGGAAACTATTAAGAGCATCGACATCATTGGTATGCAACTATTGCAGTGACACAAATGATGTTGGCGTGACGAGGTATCTTTATAGTTATTAGTTTCCAAGATTATAACCTTCATGCTTTAAATTAATGGATAACAAATTATAGTTTTCTAATACTATTATTTTTCAAGATTTCGCATTGAGTTAGTTGTTGGTGATGGCAAAGATGATGTTGTCTTCACCGTTTTCGATCGAGAAATGACTAATCTTCTTAATGTTCGTGCTTCTGAGACTATTGGAACTAAGGTATATTTTCATACACATTTCAAATCTATTAATATGTTATGGTTACTCATTTTTAAAACATCTACAACCGAAACATTATTACATTATTTATTGATTCATTTTAATATTGTTTTAAATATAGGTTACTCATTCAGTTTGCCACGAAAAAAGTATCGAGATACCTAAGTGTTTCTATCATCGGAAAATATCTAACTTTTCAAATTAAAGTTACACCATATAATTTCACGATGAAACATCATTTTTTCACTGTGTCACGTATATTTGACGATGTTTCAGGATCCAAAGATGATAATAAAGACAAAACAAACAATGTCCTAAAGGTAATAAAATTCATATTTGTTTACAATTTGAATTATTAAGTGTATTGAGAAATGTTTTAATTATAATGTTAATCATTGTAGGGCACCGGTGATGCCAATTACGATGTACAAGAGTTAGCGCCGTCTAGCAATGACAAGCGTATTGGAAAACGGCTACGTCAAAAATAAAGTTCACACTTCAAAGACCCATTTTACTTTTGACCTTCATTTTAGACTTCTACATTTTGTCTCTTTCCTTTGATAATTCTAAATTTTCCATGAAGACTATTTTATTTATATTTTACAGTATCGTTATGTTTTTCGTCATTGTTTCATTAATTTTTTTATAATCATTTTAAAAACCAGTATACACGATTTATAAGCGATATTTGAAAATTGAAGGTCACAATGATCGCTCTACCGTTGGAATGTCCTTTTAGATTTTGCCCGCTTATACAATAAATTTGTAGTATCAATAGTGATACCCAATCAATCTTATAAATAATGTAATCTATATATATAAAAGTTGGATTTAGAATCATTTGGTGAAGCCACCTAGGATCTAGCTCATCATCCATGTGGTATTTGTTTTAAAATTTTATTAAGTATTTAAAAGTTAGCTATACGTTTTATACGCACGTATTGAACTATATTCATATTAGTTTTGGTTCGATTGAAATTTTATTGGGATAATAGTTGAAATCTAACTTATAAAAAATTAATTAGTTAACTATATCTGTATATTATTGCATTATTTTTGTATTCAATGTGAATTGGTTAAATTTCTATTCTTTTAACCGATATATCCAATTAGAATTTTAGGACCAAGTTGTATTCAGTATTATGACGTCTTATTAGATTCAATTTTATAAATTCATATTGGAATATGAAATGATGATAAAATAAAGTTATATTATTCGATTTCTTAATTTATTTTCTGGCACATTTGGTTAATGATCAACCTTTTATTTTTTGGGAATTGAAAACTTTGAAACCATAAAAATAAGAAAAAAAAACCGATAAAGACATATATATATATAGAGCACCTTGAAAAATATGCAAATTATTTTGCCAGTTTGCACATGCTTTTGTTGGAATATGCTGCCCCTGGCCCAACAAAGCTCTCATTCTTTACCGTGTTTTATATTTTACCCTTAATCGTATGATTATTAACATCTCTTATTATTATTATTATTATTATTATTATTATTATTTCTCAGGATGCGGAATGCGGAAACCCAAAACACATGCATCGCATTCTCATCAAAGATCTAACACAACATCCACGAGTCTTCTAATTCCAAATAACTATACAACAAAGCTCTCA